AAATTAAAATTTACTAGATAAAAAGTGCATCAAAATAAATATTTTCTTTACATCTGATTTTGTTTTTGTTATCTTTTATGTTCTTTTATTCTAACTGATCACAAGAAACACTTAGGGTTAAAAATATAACAACACAAAAATGAAATGATTACAATCACAATATGACAATATAGCTGTATTTAATAAAAAAAATAATAATAAAAACTGAAAGCAAAGACTTTTGAGAGTCGAATTAGAATAGATCCCTGATTCAAATTAATTAATTAAAATTAATTTATTTGTATTTATTATTATTATTATTATTATTGTGTTGGGTTTAGTGGGTAATACTCGGTTTAAACCGGTGGCTGTGTACTATGCCGGACCAGAGTCAAGGCATAGCAACCAAAACTAATTAAATAAGTGTGTCAGTGTCAGTGTCTGTATTCAGGAATTTCCTAACAATATGACATGTATTCAATATAGTGGCCTTCTGTAGTGTGATGTATGTATTTCTACTCAATTGTAATGTTCCCAGGCTTTTGTGTAGTGTGTGTGGTATCACACCTGTACAGGAGAGAACAACAGGTACAATAAGCACCCTATCCATCCTCCACAGATGCCTTATTTCCTGGGCGAGTTCTGTGTACTTGCTAATTTTNTTTTTTTTTTTTGCAAAATTTTCATTTCATTTCTTTTCTGCGCATGTGATACATATGCATATTATATAAATAGAATTTATATTTATACTTCAGAACCATTTTGATGATCTTAAATTTTTCATGTTTTTCTTTTTATTAAAAATTGTTCATAAAGTTGGTCTGCATTTTTCTTGATATTTTTACTCCCCCCTCTCCTCTTCAGACATCCAATGAAATTCAATCACCCTCAAAACCTTTATCATTTTATAAATAATAAAATGAAAAACTAAAATTTAATGAAATAAAACAGATGTCTATTGAAGTTCAACTACCCGTTATCCTACTTGCGATAACCCCCTCCCTCCCCCTTCCAGTGTGGACTTCATTTATGGATAATCCCTTACTGGTACTTATTTATTGAAATTAATTTTAATTAATTTGTGATAATTAAAATTTACATACGCCAAATTTGCCAAGTTACTGTTGCACTTGGTTTTTCCAATTGATCTTGCGTTAATTTTTTTCGCGTGCAATTTTTTTTCGATCTAAATTATACTTGTTTTTAAATTTAGCTGTATTTTGTAACTGTAGTTGCATTAATTTTTGGCAAAGCTTATCATTTCGACCTTGCAAAATCTTAAGATGCAGTTGAATTTATGATTATTTTCGTGTTGCTTCTATTGATCTTCTATGAGAGTCGTCTGCTTTCTAAGAACCAACATGGCGGATGACATACCTGGGTTATCTAGCTCCTTAGTTCGAACCAAGATCCTAGAATATACACGTGCCCTTCACCTTTTTCGACTTCTCGTCTCTCTGTGTGAACTATTTCAACAAGTGCGAACTTTGAACTTTTTTGTTGGCGAACATCGCCACGTATGATTAATTTTACATTACTATTTTTTTATATAGTTACCTTTTTGCTTAGGGTCACGAGTTTCAAGGGATCTCAACAATTTCTACAAAAAAGAAAATTGAGATCAAATTTTGTAATAAATTTTTTTACAAACAAAAAAATATACTTTAAATACTACACAAAATAAAAAGTAGTTAATATGTTTATGTTAATACAGTCGATCCCCCCTATAACACGGGTTTCTATAGTTCGGATTCCTATATGACGGCGAAAAAATTGCGATGGTATCCGTACAAACATGGTAAAAAAAACTCCTATAATTCGGTAAAACGTCATCGGGCAGCCGAACTACTTTCCGCCGTCCAGCGCCACGCTACGGAGAGTTTAGGCGGGTAAATTGAGTTTACTATCGTCTGTACACGTGCGACTAAATATCCAGATGGCACAACGCGTTGATTGGTCAGCTGAATGACATCAACCCACCGAAGTATAGATTATATTTTGTGGTTGTCAGAACCTATCATGACGAAATAAATTATTATTTTTTAGTTGTCGTAATATGGAATGAGTATAAAGTGAAAATACAACTGATTATTTATTTTTTTGAACATTTAACTTCACACTTGATCTTTATGCACCTCTGAACCAAATCATACACAATAGATCATTTTAATAGTGTGATTAGTGTTTTAAATTTACATGCACAGATAGTAAATAACAGAAAATTTATACTTTGTTACAGATATTATTCATAAAAAGTTCGAGAAAGGATGAAATTTATAATTAAGACAAGTCAGAATATTTTTTGAATTTGTCATATGCATTTNGATTCGTACAACATGGAATTCATATAAAACGGAAAAATCAACAGTGTTATAGGGGGGGTCGACTGTATTAAATTGCTAACTAATCTGTATTTTTACTTAGCATATTCTGTTGTAATATATATATAAAACATTAAATACAAGTTTCTGTAAGGTTAAAAATACTGTATTGTCTAATAATGTTAAAAAAAACTTAATTTGCAATTTACATTTGTTGTTTTTGATTATTTTATTGTTATAGTAAATGTACAAAAAAGCTTTACAAAAATACAAAACAGATAAAAGTTACTTCTTGATGTTTAAAAATGTCTCAGCATTAAAATCTTTGATATCACGTAATTTAATGTTAAAATTATTGCAAAATTTTCAATTATTGTCAATACACACAAGAGCTAGTGAAATTATAAATAAGTGCCTTTTATCAAGTTTTAGATGAAATATCTATAACTATTATATAATGTCTGCCCGTACTCACCACAACAACACTAAGTTTAGGCTAATCGATCAACATTACGGATTTTAGTAGGTTGACATCATTCAGCTGACTAATCAGTGTGTTGTGTGATCTGGATATTTAGTCGCACGTGTCTGTACAGTATGTAAATTAGGTACCGTAAGTCTAATACAGCACTAATTTTATATATTTCTTGTGAAAGAAACATTTCTTATTCAACGGCCATAAAAATTATTTATATTAATGATGTCTCTAAAGTTCAACGAAGTTTTCGCAGAAAAATAACTTATCAGAAATCGCGCCCGCCGTTTGGTGCGCTGCTCCGCGACGAAAACAAGCTTAAGCAATGGCGACGTCGAACGGTGCACATTCGGTAAGTAATCCTACAGTTTTTTGTTTATAGCATAGTTTATACGGATTATTCCCAAAAAAATATATACGTATTTTGGAAATGTTGAGTCGAATTAGTCTAGGAATCGATTAATTTTATGGAAGAAAACCTTTCAAACAGTCGTAGTCCGTAAAGTGCATACGTGCCGGGCTGTGATTGGCAAGGACTCGTACAAAATTGATTCATAAAGAACGGAACGTATCTACCGTGTTATAGGGGGGTCGACTGTAATTTTCTTTTTATAATTGATTTCTAAAAATGTGAAGGGTTGGTAAGGAACCTCACACACACACAGAGTTCAGCTTAGGGCCTCGAATTGTTTAAATCCGGCTCTGTATCCCATACAAAATTACTGACATTTTAAACTTTAAGGAAAAATCCTTTAAAATTGACAGCATAATAAGGAAAACTTTTATGCCAATTCTTAACAGTCGAATCCACTCTTTCTGTCAATTATATTTATGAGCTTCTTCGAATTCTAATTTCCGAATAATCACGTGTTTTTCAAGTTGTGGAACAGACGTAAACTTATATTGGGCTCCTGTAAGGCTTTGAAAGTGCAATTTGGAACGCGACAGAAAGCTTTGCTTTTTCTATTAGTATTCATCTTTACTGTTGACAATACACAAGGATGATTCAAAGGACACAGATAAAATAGTTTTGTTTGTAAACACAAGAGGGCGAGCATCCGGTGAAAAACGCGAATAAGTTCCAGATAAAAGTGGATAGACATTTCTTAGGAAAATATACAGTTATGTAAAAATTATTATAAGCCATTCTTAGTTATTCGTGAAAGTTATATATTTGTACTTTTGTATAATAATGCTAAAATATTTTGACCGTCACATGACTGATACAGCTTTATTTTCTCAATTTAATGTACACATGAAAAATTAAGGTATAGAAATTTGTGTGTACATTAAGTATGCAAATATAAAAGCATAAACTTGAAAATTGCTTTTATTTTTAATTTTAAACTTTTTAAAATTTTGTACACTTTTGTCAATTAAAATAAAATAGTTGATATTCATATAACAATTTATTATAAAATTCATATTTAAAAAATTTATAGTTTTCAGTTATATCAGATTTCACCAAATCACAGTGCGAGCCGACCGTGTCCTTGCTTATCCCGATTCTATAAAAATTCGCATCCGGAAGGGCTGCCCACGGAAAATTCCTGGGATTTTCCACCACAAGGATTTAATTCCGGATCCCCAGAGCGGTAGGCAGACATCAACCACTCTCGGCTACTCGACTGTCTATTGCAGGCATGGCCAAAATACGGGCCGCGGGCCGGATGTGGCCCGTGTAATGGATATATGTGGCTCGCGATTAATCTTTCAATATTAGCTACTCAAGTCAATATAGATCGGTGAAAAATTCTAACGCCTAAAAAAAAAAAAAGTCAACAACTAACTGTGCGTTTAGAGTTAACGCTCCATTACAAATGTCTTCAGCACAGCGTAGAATGTTTGATTATACATGATAATGTGAAAAATGTATCTGTAATCTCTATGTACAATTTAGTCTCTACGGGGTGACATCACAATGAGATCTCGTACCACCTCAAAATCTTGCTAGGGTAGCCTCTGGTTCGGGCCGTGAAAAAAGTTTTCGTTGCAATTCGGCCCGGGGGGCAAAAACTGTTGGCCATCCCTGGTCTATTGTGTTAATTTCGTTACTTTGTCCGTCATTACATTATCTCAAAAATAATATTATTATGTCGAATAAGCTATCCGTAATAAATTATTATTACATGCATTAAAAATGAAAATAATAAAGGACGATATAAGATTTTCAACGCCATGTAATATTACTATAATGACGTCAATACCGTTATGACTGATAATTGGATGAATCAGGGTCGTTCCTTCCATCTTGTCTTCGGGTTGATTGGGTTGTGTGGGAGGAGGAGGGAGTTCTTAGTATACTTATTATAAGAGGTAAGAAATATAACTGCACTATTTAATCTTTGTTAAATTGTTATTAAAGGTATATGATTTATTATTATAAGTCTGGAGGTTAAAACATTGTTAATGAACGATCTTCCAAGTGCGAGTCATTTGCGGCCTTCCCTTCCCTGAGTGAAACCGGACGAGCCATAATGCCGGGGTTTAGGACAGAAGGCTTAGTTGTGCTGTGTTCCAATATATTACCTTTTGTCTTAATTTTATAAGGCTCGATGTTTCTCCTACAACGACCCTAAAGCAAATGAATTTAAAAGCTAATTTAATCGTCGATATATACACGTAATCATTGCATACTGTAGCTTTTATTTAGGTTTTACCGTAAGCCTAACAATTGAGTATCTGTAGTAAAGAATGAACGTGATAAAGGAATGCATCATATAATATGTGAATGTGCTTAATGTACACGTGTGTGTACATGTGTATATATAAGTTTGATTTATCCATATGTTAACAAAATAAACAATATTATTTTAGAGATTATTCGGCTTTTTTAATAATTTCATCCGAGTTTATTGTTCGTTTATAAATTTATCCTGTCGTCCTGAGACATTGAATAATAATTTTATTTTTATTTTACGAATATGTCGAAATACAAGATATTTCAAATTAAAATGGATATAAAATCGAAACATAATTCACTATATAATTATAGATTTAAAAATTTATTATATTTTGCTACAGTCTAAATGTTTGTCTAATCTGTTATTTATATGAAAGGAAAATACAACCAGAATTAAAATGAAATGTTTAAAATATCCATATTTATTTATTTTGTAATTTTTAAAATTTTTTAAAAATTAATGTTTCTCGTTACATTAGAAATTATTTTATGTAGAAGATACTTTAAGAATTTTAACTATTTCTGTCAACATAATGTGCTTTTTGAGTTTATAATACTGTAAATAAATGAAGTTAGATAAATTAATCTCATGGTTGTATGAATATCCTACAACCATGAGATTAATTAATTAATGTGTTGATATCTTCAACAATATTCAAAATTTGTTTGGGATAAATTTAAAAGATATTTTCTTTTATAATTTAAGATGGTGAAAGTTTGTGAAAAATATTTATCATTTGAGAATTTGTATTTGGAGTATAATGACAAAAATAAAGATTGTAATGTTTATAATGTGGCAATTTCTAATCAAGCTGCTTTTTATTTTCTATTAAAAATTCATTCTGCATCAAATTATAATGGGATCTTATTATAAATATACCTTTGTAATAATAAACTTTTAAATTTTCCTGATTCAACTTCTGTAGGAACCTCAGAGCAAAATCTTTTAGTTCTAAGAACATATAACAAACTTTAAGTTTAACATTCCTTTTCTATTGGTCCTGGGTTAATAGAATTTTTGAAATTTTCACTTTACTGTCATTTTTTTTATACAACTTCTTTCCCTCTTCACTATTGTTTTCCAACTGGTAAAAATCTGTACCAGAGAAGAGAGTTGTGCTCACAAGCAACTGATGAGTTGCAGGTGTACTAACCTCAACAAGATCCATAAGTTTTCATTGATATACCTGTAAAAATTAATGAATGTTTTTGCCTGTTAATTTTGTTATTTACCTCATTCTTCATTTAGGTGCAAATGTAAGATGGCATCGATGGGTGTCTGGAGGATGAAAAGGTTGTAGGGCACCTGGTCAGTTCCTCCAATATAGATGTAGGAACAATTTTATTCAGAGACGAATTAAATTGACAAATTCAAAATTAAACTACTTTATTTACATAACATAAGTAAAAGTGAACATACATAACACTTGTTTCATAATGTGAACTTCATATTTAGCTATTTAACTCTTTTGATGGTGATTTTTATATTCATTTTTCATCATAACAAACTCAGTTTAACAATTATTTTTGGAGAGTCTCCTCAAAGTTTATAATAGTTTATATACTGGATATTGCACTGTATTGCTTAACAAAAACAAATAGTTCTCTGGATAGCTGGAAAGTTAAAGCTTAAAAGGTATCAGACACTACCCTATTTTATATTTCCTATGCATATTTTTAATCTGTTTATTTTTTAAAATATTTTCAAGCAAATTTTATTTATTGCCAAATGAAATAGTATAATACTAAAATACAGATTATATGCTATAATATACCAACTTTGAAACTGATGAACTGGGATGTATGAAATTTTCTTCTGTATTCTTGCTGAGTGTTTAGAGGAAATCTTTTGGTCTGGTTACAAATAAATAAATAAATGATTTGTACTTGTTGATTCTATTTATTTTGTTGTCATTGCAGAGTAATACATATTAATAATTCTTACTTTATTCCAAATAAAAAAGGATTATTTTGAAGTTACTTGCAGCTGACACTTATTTAGATTGCTATAGCAGGACTAGTTCAAAAATTACATAAAGTGAAACTTCAGACACTGAGTTTAGATGACACAGTCTTGTTATAGTAACAATGCTATTGATGTGTTTATCTTGATTAAGCAGACATTGTCTTCTATGGACAACAAATCAAAATTTTCTACTCTATTTTTCAAAGCCTCTAAAACAAACTCTTTAAATGTGAAATCAGCCAAAATCAGATTAATTCACTCAAGACAAAATCAGCTGATAGAAAAATTGTTTGGTTTTGCTACAAAAATTTCCCTTGTAGCCTAAGAGTATAAACAATTTTGTTTCCAGGTACATAGAAATAAGAAATTTTCAGAGTTTAAAGATAAGGAGACAGTTCATGCTTCCTATGAATATCATTTAAAATGTGCTTATCTACAGCATCATTGTTGTTTCATAGAATATATTTATAACTTTAAAGTTGTCAAATGAAATTTTTCATAGTTCATTTTTAGAGTTCTCTGACACCTTGGCATCAAACATAGTAGATTGATGCCAGCATTTCTCTCTTGCATAATTGAAAGGTGAAAATCAGAAAATAATAACAGAGCATTAACCAAATGACTCATGTTGGAAAAAGAGCAAACATCTTACTTGGATGCATAGCTAGCATAATAATGCTGTATATCTAGCTTTCAGTAGTTGTCAATTGGAGTCTCACTGTTGGCCAAACCTTTTTTAGATCTCTCTAAATTAATTAATTGTTAATTTATGATTATTAAATTCAGTACAGAAGGGCACTTAATGCATCTATCATGCATGAGATAACATTGATTAATTGCATAGAAATAGACCTATAATTTAGGTATTTTTGAATTCTTAGAATATGTATTTTTGAATTCTTAGAATATGTTCTTTACAAAGCAAAGTTATGTGTTGATTATTTTAAAAATTTGCTAGATGTTAGATGAAATGTTATGAAATACACAGTAACTTTTTAACAGATACCTTTCTTAAGTGGACCAAGTTTGATCTTAAAGAGTATATGCTAAACTGAGGTTTTACCCTATTTCCAAATAATACTTTTTCTTGTAATATTTAAAATTTTTGTGAAATTTCATATTTCAGCAGCTACATTCTAACTCAGTGTTTTTCAACCTGTGGGTCGCGACCCCCAAAGGGGTCGCAAAGCCTTACACGGGGGTCGCGGGTAAAAGAAAAAGACAAGTGTTTGTAGGTCCTACACTACATTAAAAAAAACTACAATTTCAGCGAGAATTACGGCCCACCTTAGAAAATGATAGCGAAAAAAGTGTTGAGCTGATCTGCAAAAAGAAATAAAAAGTAGAAACGTAGAAGCTGAAAATTCTGATCCTAAACAAAAAAAAAAGGTCAACATCTTCCTGTGCCGAATGTTATAATTAAAGGAAGTTTCATACTTTGTGTGTTAAGTTATTGTCGATTCTTCTGAAATTTTCACTTTAATCAACAATAATTTGTCTCAACAGAGAGAAAATTAAATACATAGTTTTTAAAATCACTGATATAGTTTTAATATGGCCCTAGGGGGGTCGCCAGAATTTTTTAACTTGTAAAGGGGTCGTGTATTCAAGAAGGTTGAAAAACACTGTTCTAACTGATTTGACTAAAGAGAAACTATACTTTTATTAAAAGAGAGTTTAAATGCTTATATTCTTTTCCAAATTTTAAACATGGTTTCTCTAAATATTCTTATTCTTATTTTTTTTCTGATCTGCACAAGCATAACTTTTTGTTCTGATATGTGTATATGAAATGAATGTAATTTCTTTATATTTATTTGCTGAATTTTTGACAATGGTTAGAATTGGTACAACAACAATTAAAGCTATTGGATATAACAGGCTGACCTAGCTGCCAAATTAAATCTAGGAGCTAGATATGCATAAAACTTTACAAATTAAAAATAGTTTATTTACAACAGAAAAGATATTTTTTAATTTTAAAATTACAAATTAATTAAAATATTTACAGCAGACACAGAACCAACTTCCAGTGCATATAATACAAAAAATGAACACTATACAAATGTTTTCCAACTCCTTTAGAGTTTTTCTTCAGATGTGACTGAACAGTTACCTGATGGAATGTTATTGGAACTAACATCTATTTGTAAAAATTTTTAAAACTAATTCAAATGACCGTTTGAAAATATAACTATAAATTTAATGCTGTGTAAGTGTTAATGCGCATAACAATCATTCTACTAACAACTATGATGCTATGTCTAACAGGGCTGCCAGGCCATTGACAACACCATTTCCTCCTTAAAATTTATACAGGATTTCTTAAAAGTTAGCTTTAAAAATTTCTATTGCTTCCATCATCTAAGATGCTCTGTGTGCAATGTTGTGAGGAAGAGTTTTGCCCATGTGAAGTCTGCAACTATTGAGTAACTGTTCAGTCACACTTGAAGAACTCAGGAGAAGTTTGAAAATGTTTGTACAGTGTTCATTTTTTATATGAGTTATATGCACCGGAAGTTGGTTCTGTCTGTTGTACATATATCCTGGTGTGGAGAGATGTGTATATTAATTACAATATTTAATATTGTGATTAATTGTTTTGTTATTTTCGTTATTAAAGCAATTAAAGTTAAGAACTGTTTCATAAAACTACAAATTTTTAGT